ACCCATGCTTCTATGAACTGGAACCTCCGTAGCAATACTTATACAAGGAATACTTGTACAATCATTCTAGTGCCAGGCCCTTATTAATTTAAATGGACGCGCTTCCCACGAGGGTCTCAATCTCATAATTTAACTTACGTTTATAAAGGTGGTTGTAAGAACGGAACTCTGATTTACCATATATACTCGAGGATAAGCCGACCTGAGTATCAGCCGAGGCACCTAATTTTACCACAAAACTGCCTTAAAAATGTGCTGCAAAACTCGGCTTATCCATGAGTATATGTGGTAACCAATCTCTCTTTTTTGAGCATTTCAACAGGTGGTCACACTTCTTCATAGTCCATCAAGGAGTAAGAGAAATCCACTTTGAAAAATGGGTTCCTGAGTGGGCGGAAACAAGGGGCGTCATGGTATCTCAAAGATGAGTGGTCGGAGACAAGGGGCATCATGGAGCTCCAAAGGGGAGTGGGCACTAACAAGGGGAGTCATAGAGATCCAAAGGGAGTGAGAGGAGACAAGGGGTGTCATGGGGCTCCATATAAAAAGAAAATAAGAAAAATGGGTTCCCTCAGAGAACTGACATCCCTCCAATAATATAGCTCCCTCAGCCAACACTGTCCTTCCTTTCTGAGTCCCAGCCTTCCTTTCCCAAAGAGCTTCCGTGTAGGTGATGACGTTAGTCACCTGACTCGTGGCGACATGATTCCTGGAATCATTATACAAGTATTCCTTGTATACGTATTGCTACGGAGGTTCCAGTTCATGTCTCTTACTCGTGGCTGTCAGTGGCCTGGGCTCACTTTGTGTCCCTTCGCCTCCTTGAGGGTTTCCTCATTCTCACAGACCGTCTGCTTCTCCTCCGGGGCGGGTTTCCAGCCTCGCAAACCCACGGGGTAGCTCTGACTCTAGTCTACAGGGCCACCGTGTCTCAATGGCAGTGAGGTTTTTAGTATGAGACACGGAGAAAAGACTTATCCTTTGGTAAATTTCCCCCTTTGCTTGGATCCAGAATCAGTGTTCATGAGAGCAGCAGTCAAGATCAAGCGATGTATTCTATCGGGCAAATCTGCTGCACCAGACCTCTTCACAGGCGGGAAGCACAGGCGTCACTTCGAGTGCAGGCCCACCTGACTCCAGCCAGGGCATTCTTCACAGCCTCACGTGCACGATGAAAGAGGGATAATGGCCGAGGAAGATGGGCGGGGGCTAGCTCATTTGGAGGGTGGTGCTGGTGAAGAACACTGAAAGCACCACTTAGGACTGCCGAAAGAACAAGCAGATCTGCCTGGAAGGGAGTGCAGGCAACGCGCTCCTTTGAAGCAAGGGTGGTGCGTGTCCATCCCCCATATTTTGCCCACGTGACCAGGAGAGACCAGTCCCTGGAGAAGGACATCTGTTTGGTACGGTGGAGGCTCTTCTGAAAAGCAGGAAGACTCTGAATGAGGATTGACACAGTGGCTGCAATTATGGGCTCAAACATACCAACAATGGGAGGGTGGCGCAGGTCCGGGCAGTGTTTCTGTTGTTCACGGGGTCACAAGCAGTTGGAATGGACTCGATAGCACCAGGGAGCAGCAGACGCAGACAATTCTATAAACCGTGCTTGGTGGAGATTCGAGCCTTGTTTTGTTTCTCTTGCCCTCTAGCTTCTACGAGTGTGCGAGTGAGGTCTTGGCATGCGCTCACGGGGCCTGTGCCACAGCTCCTGCCCCGTGATCTTGCTCACGGCAGCAGCTCTGGCGTGCTGGGGTGCGAGGCCCTTCAGCCCCTCGGGCTCACTGCGGGTTCCGTGCAGCACCCTCCCTGACCGGTTCATTGAATCGCCCGCACCTCGCACCTCTCTCAATCGTCCCCTCATTAAACACACTTTGACTGGCACCCTTGGCACACACTTGGCAGCGTGAGGCATCTGTTTTCACGCCAGGACGCTGACGGAGACAGATGCATCCCGGGGAGATCAAGAACC